CCTGACATTTTAAGATGACATCATGATCATGAATTAATTTTAAACTATAAAGAATCTTCCCCACTTTCTACCACTTGTGACTAGACTTACAAGCTTTCAAAATTACTAGTTCTGAGAAGTACACTGCATCACACAAGCTAATAAGTAATTCTTGGCTAAATGGAATTTATCTGGGCATCCTATGACCTTATTAAAGAATTTTTCAAAATGTCAGATTAAACACTTCCTGCTATAAATTAACTTTAAGAGGTGAAGCCTAACTGTCTTAGTAGCTTTCCATAAAGGCTCCTAACAATATAACTGTTCTGTGATATTATCATTACAAATGACATCTACTATCATTGATTAACGATATCTATTTATTGTTAAGTCATTAATTTCAGTTTTTCAATTTACATAAGCTTTCTACAATGGTCTATGTTAAATGTTACATGGTATCAAGGATGAACTCTAAAAGACTTAGTGCCAGTTTATCTTTAAAAGTAAAAGCAGTGCTATCTTGGAAAGAATGAATACTGCCTTTTAATGAAACAGCAGAGCCTAAGATGAGTCCCAAAAAGTAGGTAAGTTTATTGGCTGAAATGTCAACAAGGCCCAAGGTCAGACTTCCTTGAGTCTTCTGTAACAAGTACATTCTTCATACCAGGTCTTCATGACCTTCTAAAGAGTAAGTAAATTAGAACAAGAGTGGTAGATACATGATGGCTAACAACCTAGAACAGTGATGGTGAACCTTTTAGAGATAAGTGCCCAAACTTCAACCCAAAATCCACTTATTTATCGCAATGCGCCAACACTGAAATTAAACCTGGATCCTGAGGTTTTAGTTTAGAAAAAATAATCATACACTAACATCTTTTATCTTAAAAGAAAATAACACATGCCACAGGTTCATCATCACTGACCTAGAAAGGTGCTCTGAGGGAAACTCAGATTTACTGAGGGAACTGACTCGTTTCATGCTTTTCTGAGGTTCTTATACCTAATCAGAGCTCTAAGGACACAATAACCAAATTTCTGATTCTCCTTAGCAGCTATGCTTCTGCTCTCACCGAGAGATGAATGTATGGGGACTATTGTATCCAAAACATCAAGAAAAGTTCTACAGGAATGAACTAGAAAGTCAGATATAACTAGGGCTGCTAAAAGTTCATTAAAATATAACCTGCAAGTGGGCAACCTGAAATATAATAAAAAACAAAAGCAGCTATAACTTTCAGCAAGTTTATGCTGAAGTCAAGGAGGATAATGTATCCTGAGGGTTAAACAGTCACCTCAGATTCTGAGGTTAGTTTTCTTGCCTATAGAGTGTTGGTGATATGACTGATACCAAGGTTCTACTCATTAAAAGGTGCTTTTTTAAAAATAAAAATTTTTAAACATTTACTTTAAATTTGTTAGGCCATGTTTGTAGTACATAATGCCTACATGCCTTGTGAGGAGTTGGTGCATGTACATAATTCCTTTTTTCACCACCTTCCCTTAGCTCCCTTCCCTTGCCAGCCATCTCTTGATCCCTTTCCTTTTCTACAAGATAGAAGGCTAACTCATCAAACCAAGCAATGTTGTGATTACTTTTGTTTCCCAAGTACTTGGATGGCAGGTATAGCAAAGATAGGGGATATGAATATTTCAGATTACGATGTGAATCAATAAACTAGCCTTATATTTCATGCTATTGGGATGAGACTGTTATTTCAAAGTATGATCTATTACCAATGGATAGGCTCACAATTAAGGTTTACAGTAAAGGATGCATCAGAATTTGGATTATCAGGATACTACTTAGCCTGAAACAGATGAGAAATTCTCTTCACGCTTGCTTGTTACTACACAGGTAAGGCAATTTGACTTACTTAGCTTCCTAGACATCACTACTCTATCACTTTCCAACACCCCCTTTTCAAATTGCCTCACTGATTTTTAAGATCTAGTTTACACAATATATACCCTTTCAGGAAGCAAGTGGAAAAGAATTTTAGGTACCTTAAGCTTCCCATTTGAATACAACAATTTTAAACAGTCATGCTCACAAAATATAATCCTTTTATCGTAGTATAAAACAAAATTCATACATACTTTACTCAGAGCTTTGCTCTTCTTAAAAACTGTTTTTTCTGATTCTTCAGTGAAGAAGATATGTTTGTTTTTCATCTTCATTTGTCTGCGCATGTCCAGATATTTTGACTTATGTTTCATATTCTTCTCTAGACACCTGATCTGGCGATGACTGAAATGTTGAATTCCACCATATCTGTGACCAGATCAAAAGTGATTCATACTTTAAATTCTAGAATGTTTTCTAATGTAAAAAGAGAGGAAAGCTAACAATTTTCACTAGTTTTCTGCTATTAGTAACCACCATTTCAATTTTTTTAACTATGAAAATGTTTGAGTACAAATTGGAGAAGTTGATGGTTTGACTTTTTATGTTGATTTTAAAGCAAATTGAAATGCTTTATGAAACACCAAAGCTAGTAATAACAACATTTCTAATGTTCAGAAGTAAAAATTATATTGTGGACTGCAATAAAGAAACAAAAA